CATACATCAAGAATCCATCAAATTCAGTATAAACTTGGATATGCATTAATTAAATAGTGAGTTTCAGATGATTGCTATCTAGCTACCAGCATACACGCCAACATTAACAAGTTACAAATAAGTTTCCAACCTGCTGAAATACTCTGTGAATTTTTGTTCTAAACTATAGGCACCAGGACCACTTCAGCACATTGAAGTTGTCTGGGTGCAGTGACCCCGTCAGTTTAACCATGCAATGGTAATTACTCCAGTTATTGATAATCTGCAATAATTACCTTGCAGGGTTAACTCCACCTCTACAGGCTGTCTACCTGCCTTTTCTGCGCTGCAAGATGGGGGCTGTGCGAGCGAGGGGGGCACTGTAGGCTAGGAATACAATTTTCTATCCCTAGCCTACAGTTACCGTTTAAGTTTTAACCGCTCTTAAGCTAGTCATAGACCAAATCATCGCAATACACTATTTAGTGAATAATACATTTTAAAATGATTTTCATTGATACCAAAGATAATCTCCTCTTGAATGTGACTATGAAGACTATTATATGTTGTATGCTAAAGTTGGATAATTACTGTCTTCAACAATGAGCTACTTGATGAATCAGTTTGATTGCAAACCATATTATGAAGAATGAATTAAAAAAGTAATTTGTTTAATTTTATCTACTGCAGTCTTAAAAATGTCTTATGATTACTGGTCCGTATTTCCTAAACAAATCCTAGATGATGTATAATCACTATGATTTTCAATAATTAACAAAACTGGTGAACTACAGATGAAAGAAAAATGCCAGTAGGTCTTAAATCTTATGAGATTTTTCCATTGAAAAGAGAAACAGTAGCATAATGAATATTCTAGATTCTGATGTTATTATGCATCATACGTGCTAATGCTGTATAATCCAGCAGCAGATTCCACAGGAAGCAGAGGTCACTTCCCATACACGCATATTCATGGACAAAATGTAATACACACAGCAATATACACAGCGGGAGAATGTTATATGTTTTTTTTTTTTAAAGGGATTTTGGTGGATAGTGACTATATTCGTCCTGATTTAAATTTCACAAAATTATAGCCTCAGGGATTTAAATTTCGGTATAATGTATTCCCGAATGACAGTGTACACTGAGTTTACATGAATAAAATAATGAAATTCCAATGCAAGCACATTTAATTTGCATTACATAATTAAAATACTATGTGCTTAAATTACTTGCTAATGTGGTTTGTAAACACATTAGAATATTGTATTTTCTTTCATTATTTCATTTACCATAATGAGAATTTCTCAAATTTTTGTAGGGTTTTTCTTTTGAAGAGGTGGATTTAGAAAATACATGAGTAATGGACTTTCATCTAAAATACATTTTTAATTTATACATGGATACTAAGTTACAGTATAATGAATAGACCATAGCTTTTTATTTGTAAATTTTATAAATATATAAAAGTAAGGATATTTGACCTTCTTCATCCAATCATGTCATGGCGATGTTCCACAATTACATGAAACATTGAGGATTTTGTCCTCTCACATAAGTAGTCCAAAATGTAACATGAAAAGCATTGACGTTTATCAGAAAAACATAATTTCAGTTGTCCACCTTGTATCCAAACTCCAAAAAGGTATGAGACATAACACTGTTGCTAGCTGACAGAGCTCCACTAACCCAAATGCTATCTCTGGCCTAAATTGTTACCGTATCAGTGCAAATTAAGTATGATATCATGGTATGAAAGAGGTAGAAAGAGATACCCTAATACTATGTCATCAGTAAACAAAGTTAAGATTGCTAATTTTCCACAATCCTTGCATTTCGTAACTCTATAAACCCCTTTTTAACATACCTAGCTAAACAGACTTGGTCTTTGGATATTTGTTAGATTCCCAGAGCAGGATACAATATTTACTAATGCATTACCTAATTAGATAAATATAAGCAATTTTGTTTAAATCTATTCTAGCTGCTACACCTCTATAAGTTTTAGTCACTAACTAACCCAGAGTCACTGGATCTCAAAGAGTAACCCTTCTCTAGTAGTGATGTCGCGAACCCGAAATTTTCGGTTCGGGAACGGCCAACGCGAACTTCCGCAAATGTTCGCGAACCGGCGAACCGGGCGAACCGCCATAGACTTCAATGGGCAGGCAAATTTAAAACACACAGGGACTCTTTCTGGCCACAATAGTGATGGAAAAGTTGTTTCAAGGGGACTAACACCTGGACTGTGGCATGCCGGAGGGGGATCCATGGCAAATTACACAGTTGATGCAGAGTCTGGTTTTAATCCATAAAGGGCAGAAATCACCTAACATTCCTAAATCACAATGAATATGGATTGACACCTGACATATGACATATTGACACCTTGACATATGGATTGACACCTGTCCTCAGAGCCCCTGATGCACACGGACACAGAGCAGAATAGGGACTGGTCCCCCTACATAGGGTCACTTGGCAGATATGGATTGACACCTGTCCTAAGGATCCCTGATACACACTGACACAGAGCAGAATAGAGACTGTTCCCCCTACATAGGGTCACTTGGCAGCTATGGATTGACACCCGTCCTCAGAGACCATGATACACACTACGCGTAGCTGGGTGAATAGAGACCTCTTCCCCCACATAGGCTCCTCACTTGGCAGATATGGATTGACACCTGTCCCTCAAAGCCCCCTGATACACACTGACACAGAGCAGAATAGGGACTGTACCCCTACATAGGGTCACTTGGCAGAAATGGTTTGACACCTATCCTAAGGATCCCTGATAAACACTGACACAGAGCAGAATAGGACTGTTCCCCCTACATAGGGTCACTTGGCAGGTATGGATTGACACCTGTCCTAAGGATCCCTGATACACACTGACACAGAGCAGAATAGGGACTGTTCCCCCTACATAGGGTCACTTGGCAGATATGGATTGACACCTGTCCTCAGAGCCCTTGATACACACTGACACAGAGCAGAATAGAGACTGTTCCCCCTACATCGGGTCACTTGGCAGATTTGGATTGACACCTGTCCTAGGGATCCCTGATACACACTGACACAGAGCAGAATAGAGACTGTTCCCACTACATAGGGTCACTTGGCAGATATGGATTGACACCTGTCCTCAAAGCCCCTGATACACACTGACACAGAGCAGAATAGAGACTGTTCCCCCTACATAGGGTCACTTGGCAGATATGGATTGACACCTGTCCTAAGGATCCCTGATACACACTGACACAGAGCAGAATAGGGACTTCACAAGTCTCCTGCCATAGGGTCACTTGGCAGATAAGGGATTGACACCTGTCCTCAGAGATCATGATACACACTGACACAGAGCAGAATAGAGACTGTTTCCCCTACATAGGCTCACTTGGCAGATATGGATTGACACCTGTCCTCAGAGCCCCTGATACACACTGACACAGAGCAGAATAGAGACTGTTCCTCCTACATAGGGTCACTTGGCAGATATGGATTGACACCTGTCCTCAGAGACCATGATACACACTGACAGAAAGCAGAATAGAGACTGTTCCCCCTACATAGGGTCACTTGGCAGATATGGATTGACACCTGTCCTCAGAGACCATGATACACACTGACAAAGAGCAGAATAGAGACTGTTCCCCCTACATAGGGTCACTTGGCAGATATGGATTGACACCTGTCCTCAGAGACCATGATACACACTGACGAGAGCAGAATAGAGACTGTTCCCCCTACATAGGGTCACTTGGCAGATATGGATTGACACCTGTCCTCAGAGACCCTGATACACACTGACACAGAGCAGAATAGAGACTGTTCCTCCTACATAGGGTCACTTGGCAGATATGGATTGACACCGGTCCTTAGAGATCGTGATACACACTGACACAGAGCAGAATATAGACTGTTTCCCCTACATAGGGTCACTTGGCAGATATGGATTGACACCTGTCCTCAGAGATCATGATACACACTGACACAGAGCAGAATAGAGACTGTTCCCCCTACATAGGGTCACTTGGCAGATATGGATTGACACCTGTCCTCAGAGCCCCTGATACACACTGACACAGAGCAGAATAGAGACTGTTACCCCTACATAGGGTCACTTGGCAGATATGGATTGACACCTGTCCTCAGAGACCATGATACACACTGACACAGAGCAGAATAGAGACTGTTCCCCCTACATAGGGTCACTTGGCAGATATGGATTGACACCTGTCCTCAGAGACCATGATACACACTGACACAGAGCAGAATAGAGACTGTTCCTCCTACATAGGGTCACTTGGCAGATATGGATTGACACCTGTCCTCAGAGCCCCTGATACACACTGACACAGAGCAGAATAGAGACTGTTCCCCCTACATAGGGTCACTTGGCAGATATGGATTGACACTGTCCACAAGGACAAGCTGCAGGCTTCCTGGCAGGGCCCATACAAGGTGGTAGAGCAGGTTTGTGATACCACCTTTGTGATCGGTGCGGTCACAGGCATGGGAGGCAAGCGCATGCTCCATGTGAACATGCTCAAGCCATACCACGAGCGCACGGAAGAGGTAACCGCGATCTGTGCACCTGCCACTGAAGATTATGATAATTTGCCACTCCCAGATCTCCTAGACCTAGAGGGCCAGAGCGGAGACCTGGGAGAAGTACAGTTAGAACGGTTAGACCCCCAGGAGTGAACCCAGGTCCAAAGACTAATCCAGGACAAGGGGGCCACGTTTTCCAACCTACCTGGTACAGTCCGTTAACCACTCACAAAGTTGAAACCCTGACCATACCCCCCTTCGCCAAACCGCCTATCGCATACCCGAAGCAGTTAAAGAAAATATTCAGAAAGAAATTGAGGAAATGATGCAGTTAGGGGTGATAGAACACTCTGACAGCCCCTGGGCCTCCCTGGTAGTACTAGTACCGAAACGGGACGGCACGACCCGTTTCTGTGTAGACTACCGGAGGCTAAACGATAAAACAACCTCAGACGCCTACCCTATGCCCCGGATAGACGAGCTCCTAGACAAAATGGCCAGAGGCCAGTACCTCACCACAATAGATCTGTGCAAGGGGTACTGGCAAATTCCATTAGCCAAGGATGCCATCCACAAGTCGGCATTTGTCACCTCGTTTGGCCTGTATCAGTTTAAGGTCATGCCATTCGGGATGAAGAATGCCCCGGCTAACTTTCAGAGGATGGTAGATCGGCTACTGGATGGGTTTCAGGAGTATGCCTGCACCTACTTGGATGATATAGCCATTTTTAGCTGCTCCTGGCCCGAACACCTGACCCACATAGGAGCCGTACTAGACCGGATTAGGGAGGCCGGACTGACCCTAAAACCCAGTAAGTGCCATATAGGAACGCGTAAAAACCTCCCCAAGATAGTAGTATGGGCCCCAGAGTGTGAACAGGCCTTCCAACAGCTCAAGACGGCGCTCATTAAATCACCTGTACTTTCTGCTCCTGATCCAACTAAATGCTTTCTCGTCCATACAGATGCTTCTATGTTTGGATTGGGAGCAGTACTGAGCCAAGTCGGAGCAGATGGCGGAGAGCAACCCGGAGCTTATCTAAGCCGGAAGCTTTTGCCCAGGGAAGTAGATACACTGCCATTGAAAAGGAGTGCCTGGCGGTGGTGTGGGCCCTCAAAAAGCTGCAACCTTACTTGTATGGACAACCGTTTACCTTACTCACAGATCACAACAAATTTGGGGCACTGCGCGTGCAATCTAATGTGCCACCAGATAGGAGTGGTGTGTTAAGTAGTACTATTCTTATCAGTTTAATCCCTGTTACGTCCCCTATCAGGGGCTGTGTATATGGCATCGATTTTAGGAACTGGGAGATGGAAAAAGATGCTTGGTCGGTCCTCCTTCTTCAAATTTGGGGCACTGCGAGTGGTGTGTTAAGTAGTACTATTCTTATCAGTTTAATCCCTGTTACGTCCCCTATCCGTTGATGTGGAGCAAGACGTAGCAGCAGAAGAGGACTCAGCCGAGGAGGTTATGGAAGAGGATGGAGTAGGAGGAGTAGAGGAGGTGGCAGCAGGCCTGCCTGCAAGTCGTGGCGGTGTCACCAACTCCTCTGCAGAGCCACGCATTCCATGCTTGGCAGCCGTCAGCAGGTTTGCCCAATGCGCAGTGTAGGTGATATACCTGCCCTGACCATGCTTTGCAGACCAGGTATCAGTGGTCAGATGGACCCTTGTCCCAACACTGTGTGCCAGACATGCCATTATTTCCTTTTGCACGATCGAGTACAGGTTGGGGATTGCCTTTTGTGAAAAGAAATTTCGTCCGGGTACCAGTGAGTGAGTGGTGGCACTGGGCACTGTGAGCCTGACACACCCGCTGGCAGACAACTAACTGCTATTCAATCTATAACAGTGAAAAAAGTTTTTTGTTTTTAAATGCGAGCTATTATGACACCAGATATGAGTGGCACTGTAAACTGGCAGAGTAAACGCTGTAGGGCTGACACACCCGCTTTGAGACAACTAACTGCTATTCAATCTATAACAGTGAAAAAAAGTTTTTGGGTTTTTAAATGCACGCTATTGTGACACCAGTGAGTGAGTTGTGGCACTGGGCACAGTATCCACTGTGAGTCTGACACAGACGCTGGCAGACAACTAACTGCTATTCAATCTATAACAGTGAAAAAAGTTTTTTGTTTTTAATTGCAAACTATTATGACACCAGATATGAGTGGCACTGTGAACTGGCAGAGTACACGCTGTAGGGCTGACACACCCGCTTTGAGACAACTAACTGCCATTCAATCTATAACAGTGAAAAAAGTTTTTTGTTTTTAAATGCAAACTATTATGACACCAGATATGAGTGGCACTGTGAACTTGCAGAGTACACGCTGTAGGGCTGACACACCCGCTTTGAGACAACTAACTGCTATTCAATCTATAACAGTGAAAAAAGTTTTGGGGTTTTTAAATGCACGCTATTGTGACACCAGTGAGTGAGTGGTGGCACTGGGCACAGTATCCACTGTGAACCTGACACAGATGCTGGCAGACAACTAACTGCTATTCAATCTATAACAGTGAAAAAAGTTTTTTGGTTTTTAAATGCACGCTATTGTGACACCAGTGAGTGAGTGGTGGCACTGGGCACAGTATCCACTGTGAGCCTAACACAGACGCTGGCAGACAACTAACTGCTATTCAATCTATAACAGTGAAAAAAGTTTTTTGGTTTTAAATGCAAGCTATTGTGACACCAGTGAGTGAGTGGTGGCACTGGGCCAGTATCCACTGTGAGCCTGACACAGAAGCTTGCAGGCAGGCAACTGCAATTACATTACACAAAAAAAAAAAAAGCAGACTGATGTTCTAGCCCTAAAAAGGGCTTTTTGGGGTGCTGTCCTCACAGCAGAGATCAGATGAGTCCTTCAGGACTGTAGTGGACACTGTATACCCTAACCTAGCTATGCATTTCCCTATCTAATCAACAGCAGCTACACTTTCCCTCCTCTCACTAAGCATGCAGCTTGAGAATGAATGTAAAATGGATGCCTTCCAGTAGGTGGGAGGGTCTCCTAGGGAGGGGGTGCTGCTAATTGGCTGGATTGTGTCTGCTGACTGTGAGGTACAGGGTCAAAGTTTACTCAATGATGACGAATAGGGGGAGGATCGAACCGCGCATATGTTCGCCCGCCGTGGCGAACGCGAACATGCTATGTTCGCAAGGAACTATTCGCCAGCGAACCGTTCAGTGCATCACTACTCTCTAGTCAGGATACAAAGTGTTCCTGGTCAAAGAAACAAAATTATAAGGATCTTCATATTATCTGTTTCACAAGGAGAGCATGGTTGGATTATTCTTCTATCCAGCTCCTATACTCTTGGCACAATGTGTGTTGTGGCATTGGCAGTAGACGTAGAGATTAATTTTGGACTGAACTTCAATTCATCCAAATGTGGGCTGATGTGGTGATTAGTGGAATCCCCAAATTCCAAGCTGGAATATACCTCAATTATGGACTAACCAAAAAGCACAATGGTAAGAATATCCTAACCTAGGGGGTTAATATCCTAGTTTCCGCCCATGGCACCAAAAAAAGAAATGATTGATGGGAAAAAAAGATGATTGATTGCTAGGAGATCAAGTGAGAAGTAAGCAACAGAGGAAAAAAACAGGAGGAGCAGTTAAATATCTATGTTTATATATTATATCGGTATAAAGATATTGTTTTACCCCTCCTCCGACTTTCCCACCATTCGTTACTTTTTATCAGTTCTGTGAACCAAATGGTGAGAAAATTATATTATTAGTATTGACATCTGGATGAACTTTGGGAATTCTAAAAAAGTCTAATTGGCAGTCTAATGAGGAGACAGAAAGGGTCACAAATAAGCAGCAATGTGGTTGGTAGATACAGTAGCAGTTAAAAAAGGGGAATAAGCAGTGACAAGAGAGAATGAGTTAAAGGGACACTATAGTCACATGAACAACTTTAGCTTAATGAAGCAGTTTTGGTGTATGGAACATGCCCCTGCAACCTCACTGCTCAATCCTCTGCCAGTTAGGAGTTAAATCCCTTTGTTTATCAACCCTAGTCACACCTCCCTGCATGTGACTTGCACAGCCTTCCATAAACACTTCCTGTAAAGAGAGCCCTATTTAGGCTTTCTTTAGTGCAATTTCTGTTTAATTAAGATTTTCTTACCCCCTGCTATGTTAATAGCTTGCTAGACCATGCAAGAGCCTCCTGTATGTGAATAAAGTTCAATTTACAGATTGAGATACAATTATTTAAGGTAAATTACATCTGTTTGAAAGTGAAACCAGTTTTTTTTTTCATGCAGGCTCTGTCAATCATAGCCAGGGGAGGTGTGGCTAGGGCTGCATAAACAGAAACAAAGTGATTTAACTCCTAAATGACAGTGAATTGAGCAGTGACATTGCAGGGGAATGATCTATACACTAAAACTGCTCTATTTAGCTAAAGTAATTTAGGTAACTATAGTGTTCCTTTAAGAATCTAGATCACTGTAAACTCAAATACTGTAAATTAAGAAGGTCTATACTTCCACTGTTTACACCTGTGTTCTTCATGGTGATAGTTAGACAAGTATTGATATATGTAGTAATTAATATAGCTAGTAATATGTATTCAGACAAAGTGAAACGTAAGATATATTAACATCATAAAATCTCCAATATCATGTTAAAATGTTTTACCTTTAAAATCCGTAGCTGAAAGCTGTGAGACTCCCTTCCGTTTTATCACCTCCTAAACCTACAATTAACTTTTACTAACTGACATTTACGTGATTTAATTTCCATTACACTAATGTACCCTGCATATTTTCTTATATAGCTATTGTCTTATTCCCTGTAGGATGCTATTATGCTACATATCTCACCAAAACCAGGGCTAATGACAAATATGATATACACACTTCCATGAGCTATGCTTGCATTCTGAATAACAAACTGCCGTGTGTGATATCAGTGGAATGCTACGGGAATCCAAACTTACTAATACTGTTAATCAAATGACTGAAAATGTCTCTCTGTGGTATCTTAATTTAATTTAACTAATTTAAAGGAAAATGTAAAAATATATGTTATGGAACTCCTTGCTGGAGTAGAATTTTAATGAGAGATCCTGTGCTCCTAATATGATATAACGGAGATTGTACAGAGGGGGGTTGGGGGGGAAGGGAGCAGATTCCAATAAAGAACAGTGTCTATAACAGGTTCTTATTTTATACTGGATTTAAAGACCAGGGTAGATTCTCTTTTACATAGTTAGATAGTAATGTAGGATAAAAGACGGCTCATCAAGATCAGGCTTAATCCAAAAGAAAAAAAAAATATTCTTGACTCCAAAATTGCAACTTGATTTCTCCTTAGATCAGATTGTTTCCCTGTTTATCAGCTTTTGCATTGTCAGTACTGGCTTTGGAACTCTCACTGGACATAAGGGCACATGAGACACCATCTACCTCCACATCTCACATATGGGACCCAGAAAGAACTATCCCATTTATTCCAAGAGGCGGCTCAAACAAACCGGCAGTGACCTGAGCAGACACAACGCGGAGCAATACAGCTCACAAGCCATCATTTATATCATAATCCCCACTGTATATATCTCAGCCAATGCTATGCTAAGTTCCTTATGTTTATTTCTTAATTTGTTTTCCCTTCCTTTTTTGAGTTACTTGAGAACCACATATTGTGCCTTACTCTGTACAAGGGAGCAGTTCAGCACTTCCTATGAATAACTGTGTTACATAGTTTCTGCCTAACTAG